TGTGTGTGTGCATAATATAAATGAACTTTATAAAGTGCTAAAGTGTCTAAAGTGCTTCCCGTCGTAGCAGCTCCATAGGCAATGTCCTCGGGGACTTTGTAATCTCACTTGGCACCAATAACCCTGTATCTGAGGAAATTTTAGTAGGTGTGTGTATAAAGGAGTGGCTTTGTTGGATGATCAAACTGTTTTGTATAAAATGGCCACACACTCACACACACACACACACACACGTTCAAGTAGAAAACGCAACATTTTTCTTTGTCAGCTGCGCGTCGCTGACGTGGCCGGTCTCCGTTGACACTGATGCTGTTTTTGACTGACCTCTGCAGCCTGTGTTCCATTCCGCACATGAAGGGTTCTACCACAGTACCATCTCTCTTTTACCTGCCTAACTGGGTGTGTGTGTGTGCATAATATAAATGAACGCGGGTCTAAAGTGCTTCCCGTCATAGCAGCTCCACAGGCAATGTCCTCGGGGACTTTGTAATCTCACTTGGCACCAATAACCCTGTATCTGAGGAAATTTTAGTAGGTGTGTGTATAAAGGAGTGGCTTTGTTGGATGATCAAACTGTTTTGTATAAAATGGCCACACACTCACACACAACACATGAAGGGTTCTACCACAGTACCATCTCTCTTTTACCTGCCTAACTGGGTGTGTGTGTGTGCATAATATAAATGAACTTTATAAAGTGCTAAAGTGTCTAAAGTGCTTCCCGTCGTAGCAGCTCCATAGGCAATGTCCTCGGGGACTTTGTAATCTCACTTGGCACCAATAACCCTGTATCTGAGGAAATTTTAGTAGGTGTGTGTATAAAGGAGTGGCTTTGTTGGATGATCAAACTGTTTTGTATAAAATGGCCACACACTCACACACACGTTCAAGTAAAAAACGCAACATTTTTCTTTGTCAGCTACGGATCGCATTTCACTGCGCGTCGCTGACGTGGCCGGTCTCCGTTGACACTGATGATGTTTTTGACTGACCTCTGCAGCCTGTGTTCCATTCCAAACTTTTACACTTCGACCTCTACATTTTCAGACGCACCAATCACTTTTACAGCTCTTAACTCTGACCTCTTGTGCTTTTTTTGCAGAAATGACAAAGTGCCACCTCTCGCTGAGATTTTACAAGATTGCTAGGTAATCTGCAAGTGTGCACAGCATAAAGTTACAAGAGGCCATGACACACCAAGTTGACTATCAGCCGGCGGCAAACGCCAGGCTGTTGTTGAGCATCTGTCAGCTCAGTTTTAGGGCGTGTTCTGCGCCGTCGGCAGTAGTCAGACACTGTTGGCAGTGTGTTTTTGGCCAATGAGTGTGTTGAATCGGCATCAGGCAGTCGGTGAGGCAGATTACTCGGATTGGCTGTTCAGGTTGACGAACCAGTGCATGAGAAGAAAAGTGAAAGTGATGAAAGCGAGCAAATGACAAAGTTAAGAGGACACACAAAATTCAAATATTCAAAATGGTAAGGCAGTGCTTCTTTGGTAATGGTTTGTATATCAGCAGTCCTGGTTTCGGTTTCGCTTTTTGAATGACAGATTTAGACTATTACCACTCAAACATATGTTATAGTTGGCTGTTGGCTGTCATCTTCACGGTGTGTTCAAGTGCAACTTTTTAGCCCAGACGCAAGGCACAGGGGTTTTCCTGCATTGAGAATATTTTGGCAGCCGCCAAAGGTTTATTTGATCATTTAATGTGATTACTGGGTGATGTAGATCAGTGTTTCCCAACCGGGGTGCTGTCTGTCGAGAGCAGGGGTGCCGTGTAAAAAATCCTTTTTTAATATTTTTAAATTGCTAAAACGTTCAAAAAAGCATCTATTATATAATATCCATTTCTGATGTCAACAGCTGTGACAGGTGTAAACACCCAGTAAGTCTGTTTGTTTAATTAAGAAATGAATTAATTTGTTTCAAAATAAATATTTTAAACACTAAGACAAAAGGGAAAGAATAGCCCCTAGGCCTATGTATCATGATAAAAAAAAGCGACTTTACAGTCTGGAAATACTTTAGGCTATAGCAAATTACTTTTTGGACCCCCTATCACTTTAAGATCTGCTGGTCTACACAGAAGAAAGACCTGTCTAGACTCTGCCCCGGTATGAGTTGTGTCGAGCTATTCATTAGTCTGTTTGTTTGATGAAAAATATGAAATTGATAAAATGGGTTATTAATCTACTTATTTTACTGTTTTTTTCGGGATCTACTGGGACAGTGATAAAGACCACTGCTCTAGGGAATTACAAGGCTGCCAGAGCGTGATGGAACACAGCCGGACAGAAGTATGGGCGTGGTTTTGTCATCTCATTTGCATACAGTTAACCCAGACCCAATAGGATTCCATACTGTCCGGCACTGCACAGCAAATGGAACCTTTAGGAAAAACTAAAGACATCTGATGTATTAATCAATACTACCTGCTCCTGCGGTTCAACTGGACACAGCACAAAGCCGAGCATGTAGAAGAACAAAAAGGCACACGTGCCATCATTTGAGAGCTTCAATACTTGTGTTTCCTTAATCATCACAGGTCAAAGTGAAGGATGCAGTCAAGGGCAACATTTATTGCATGCCCTTTGAGTATCTATATAGAGCACCAGCAAGCTCATCAATGAGACACTGAATGTCACCTTGTTGTACACAAATACACTCTACCAAACACAAGCAAAAGCCCATAACATGTGAGGTCACGGACCAAATCTAATTATCTGAATAAACACCAGCTCAACAATTACAACTTTAACAGCTGACTGGATTGAAAGCATGATAGAGATGAAGAATAAGAGTGAAAGGGAGTGTTTAGAGGGGAATGACAGCAACATTTCTGTCATTTCAGTCTCTCTCTTCATCCTTTTGTAGACAACAAGTTTTATTTGAAAGCTGGAGTGCAGGGCTGTGCTGGTAAACGGGTACATTGCTGTGGTTAACGTGATGGGATGATACCACCTGCACATTTCAATATAAGAAAATGTCAAAAATCTCCAAAGACACAATGACATGCATAGAAAAGCTCTCTCTTCCCTTGCTGCTCGCTCTCGCTTTGTCTGTTCTCCATATTACTGATGACTATTACAGAACACAGCCGACATATCAAACCCTGACCTAATAACACAGCGCTGTCGAATGGATTGCCTGTTTGGAGATATTGCAGTTAAAATCTGTGTTTACCTACTCTCTCTTTTTCACTGTCTTTTTTTCTGTTCCCATTGACAGTTTTTTCCTGTGCTCTAGTGAGTAATGAAAAGCTGAAATCTAAAAAAATGCATTTTAAAACCCCACCGGCCCTTAAGACATCACGAGGACAAGAACTCCAGCATTCTGAGGTCAGATTATAAAGAGAACAAAAGAATATTTTAAAACAACCCTGTACTTTCACTGTCTTTTTTTTTTCTCTGACATAATTTTTCCCCTTTCTATTTAGTTTTTTGTTTCAATTGTTCTTTGCTTACCCATTCACTCTCTCACATCTCATTTTGTGACTGTTTTTTCTAAATACATACCAGATTCTTTCTTTTAGAGAATGAACATGCTTTTTGAAGTTTTGTACACTTCACAATATAAAGACATCATAGCTATGTGGAGTTTGAAACTGGGAAGCACTGCCAGATAATAATGAAAAAATGCAAATGAAAATCTATAATTCGAAACCTTATGGTACTTCATATTAATGAATGAGGTACTCCAATAAAATGCTTTTGCTGAGTGAAATTAACTGGAATTGCTTTGCATTTTCTCTCACACTCACTCACACTAAAACAGCAAGCACACAAGTCATAGATGCTGGTGGTAAATCTGATCTATTGCTGTTTCAGACATGCAATGCACACCCCAGCACTCATTCTCAGGTACACACACATGTGTGTGTGTGTGTGTGTGTGTGTGTGTAAATTATTGATGCACACCAAAGGATTTAGTTTTTCTCTGAATTTTAAAATTAAATATCCTAACATACATTTGTCATCTTCATAAGCATACCACAACTCACTAGCTCACATTCACATGGTCTTCAAATGTCCGTTAAAGTATCACTGACAGACAGCCTTGAGTGCACAGTGTTATTCTCAGGCTCTAACCGTCTTTGATATCTGTGTGTTATGTAACATCTCTCTCGTGTCCATGAAACATATTGTTTAATGAACATTGAATGAATGAACAATCTAAATAATGAATGGATTCATGAGCAATGAATGACAAACAAATTAATTAATAAACAAATGTGTAAAAAATAAATAAATGAAATAATTTCCACATTTTCACTCATAAAAGATGTCGAGCGTCTTAAAAGTAAGCTTGTTTTTCTTGTCTTAATTAATCAGCAGGCATATAGACACATTAGCAGGTTAATCAATTTTTATAACTGGCATTTAAAACTAAAAGATAAAAAAACAATTAAATAACAGATTGTATTTGTATAAGTTTAAGAAAGGATTATAAATACAAACTAAGTTATACAGACTGATTTAAAGACAAAGAAAGGATTTAAATGATCAAATACTGAACCTCAAATGCTGCGTGTATGCAGGACAGATGATGGAAATCACTCGAATTACAAATTGTCATCTTTTTGTATGAGATTTGTATTGTCATTCATGCAGTCTGCACGTGAATGGTTGGCAACCGTGTGAATGAAGCACTAGGTTTATTCTTGAATTTCTCACTGGAACACATGCACGACAGCTGATGACAGTATTAATGACCCTCCTCTGAAACTGCAAATGAGTCATACGCGTATTATCCTAATAGCTCCTTGTCATGAGCCAGTGAATGATTCTTGTCTACTTTTAGGGGTCGTTCACAAGGGACGCGTTCTTGCGTTCTTATTTTTTTAATAATTTTGCACTGTAGTTTAACTTTGGAAAAGGGGTCTCGGAATGCGTTTCCGTTACCTTGCGTTCTGCTGTTTTGAATGCAAGAACGGGTCATGTGCGAACATCCCCTCATCTCTCCGTTAATTCATGTGGACTGAACGCGCGCACTCACTCACCCGCGTTTCTCAGTTTTCTATTTCTGAGCACCGAGATGATCACCAGCACATTACCGAGCACATCCACCACGCTCGTGAAGATCAGCACACTGGCGAGCACCATGACGACCCATGCTGGCCGCGCGCCAGCTCCGCTACCCCAAGCGCGACCCTGCCCGACTTCCGTCCGGTTCCTGATGAGGGAGACATTCTCGGGCATGTCGAATGAACTTAACCCTCTCTCACAAAAACACGCTCGGTATCTTTCTTACGAAGCCTCTGCCATCTTCACCCTCGTCAACAATGAAACATTTCCACATTCTCAACAAGCCTTGGGGAGCTCGGTGACGCGCTTTGTTTTCTCATTCATGTGTCACATGAAACAAATTTTTCCACCCGGTTCTTCTCTTGATTGACGAATACGTTCAACTTCACAGTGCTCGTTCTCCCTCCTCGCCGCGCGCTCTTTTAAAACTCCCTCTCGGTGAGAGCGCGACGCACGAGAAGGTCTCCGGTATTTCCCATTGATGACTGATGGATCACGCTGGCGTGGGTTCACCCCTCTTCCTCCTCATCCAATTCGTCCTCCTCTTGCCGTACAGCTCATTTACATTGACGCGTTTTAACTGAGACGCTTCCAAAAAGCTGTCAAACGTGGGACGCGTCAACTCGCAGCTATGTCCAGTCAGTCAGACTTTATTTATTCATTAATTCACTCGGTGGCGACGGAATCCTATGCGTGAGATCAGATGATGGGCTCCCGTTTCGGTCGAATTCCCGTCTCAGGAGTGTCAACCCATTAAGTGCAATGTGTGACTGGTTTTGGCACCAGTGTGTGTCGTTAAAAACGCTTATTTTTGTCTACGATGGTATTCGCGTTTGAGGGCAAGACTGTCGTTAAATGAAAGAATCCAACTTCGAAAATGAGCATTTCTGAGCGGTAATTCCGTGTTTTCCCGCCTCAAAGCGACGTCCCTCAGCGAGCAGTTTCCGGTCCACTTCTCGGACAAGTCCAGTTAAACGACAGCCGGAGAAACGTCGACTTCGACCCGACCCGACCCGCACGGCCGGTCTCTCAGCGCTCTCCTCATTGAGGACCGAAATCCGCGAGCGCGCGCCACCGCTGTTTACAGCTGCCCCGTTCACACGCTCTGGGAGCCTCCGCGTGCGTCTGAACTTGAACTGAGAGCGCGCAGGTGCACGTGAGGGCGTCCTGCCACAACGGGGTTGAATTAAAAGGACTTGCAGCGTTTTCTCCCTGATTGCCTGGTACCGAGCCGAGCGATACTTTAAAGTCAGCTTCCACAACCATCACCAAACACCAAGAATTTATTTAAATACATTATATCAAATAAAACATGTAGTAAAATTACTACAGAGCAAATAAAAATGTCTCTTAAACATATCGCCTTTTTAAAATAATTAAATGCCATTGGGAGCAGTGAACTCAAGATGTGAAAATGACAAAATTCATCAACAAGAACGTCATTTATGACCCATAATTGGTGGATGATAGGTCTAACTTGCTTAAAATATATAAATACCTGTATGCAATCTAATGAGAAAAATAAAATACAACAACATCTAACTAAACGTGGTATTAGCGAAATAAACATAAAAATACGTTGTTCCAATATTCCCAAACATCAGTGCATGCTGGGAGTTAAAGCCCTGCCCTCAGTGCCTTAGACATCATTGCAGTTTTTCTAGCCATAAATCATTCACTTTGACAGGATGAAGAATCTGAGTGTCATGCAAAGTCATCAGTCACAGTTATATGTGCCATAGGGGTGGGTTCATCTAAAATCATATAATATATATATATATAGCCATTTTGAGTTTTTAATTTTTATATTTTCCATTTTTATTATATATATATATTTTTTTTGTTTCGGTAATTTTATTGTGTTTTGTCATTTTTATTTCATTTTATTCAACTTTTTAATTTTTTTTTATTTTTAGTTTTAGTTATTATAGTACATCAGATTAAACAAAATTAAAATGAGAAATGTTGCTTTGGTAATTAGATGACAGTTTTTTTTTAATTAAAGATTTTTCATTTTAATTTACTTTTTAAATTTATTTTTAAATTTAATTTAATTTGTAAAAATTTTATTTCATTAAAAGTTTATTTTATTTCAAGTAAAAAAAAAAAAAATATATATATATATATATACTTTTTTAATGGTTTTAGTTTGAGTTAACTAAAATAACCCTGTCAATTGGGTTGGTATATAACATTATAGAAGTAAATTATAAGTTATTTATATATATACAGTCATGAACAGTAAAATAAACTACAATATTCTTTTCAGTTTCATTTCCCGATTACTTTGATTTCCTCGCTTCGCAAGTGTTGCCGTTGTAAAATGTAAGTGAATATCTGGCAACCACAGCTGCTGTTTTTGAACAGGACTTTCTTACAGCAGTAGGGCAGGACCCAACATGGACCAGCTCAATCCGATCGAACCTGAACCCAGCAGACCATCAATCTGCAGCCAGATGCAACAAACCCCTTCAGTTAAGAAAAGCATTAGTGATCATAACGCCAATCATTAAGGATTATCTTTATTTAATTGTTTGTCACACCTGAGCCTTGCGATTTAAACCCTTCATGAAGCTCAAAATCTCCTGCAACCAAACAGCAGCGAGTTCTTCGACAGCCAGTGACATAAACGACAAAAACACACGCAATTACTGCAGCAAACAGAGGAGATGGAGATAGATTAGATGGAGAAGACAACCTGCAAACTCTGACACGGTGTCACGCCACAACACATCTCCACACACATTAGCAAACGTGTCTTCATCTGCCTCGTGTGCTCGATTAGATCCAACTCATGAATATCTCAGCAGAGGTAATGAATAATACCGTCAAGTGTCCAAATTACAACTACGCTTCTTGCATTTTTAAATACATTCGAGTGAGGACAAATGATCTAACTAGACAGCATGGAGGAAAATGCAGATGTTATTGTACAAACCAAACAGACTGCAGAAGGACAGAGAGGAAGATGCTAGTTCATTAAAAAAAAAAGCAATTATGCATTACATGTAACAGAACAGTGAATATATACATAACATAGGCAGCGATTTTACAATCACCAGTTGTTCCCCAAGGGCCCTGTATCCATTTCTAGGTGTTTATGGTAATTCAATGAAAATATCTTCTCAGGCAAACGCAGAAGGGCTGACAGTATCCTGAAAGCATGCAGTGTATGTTGTATTTATAACTTTTAGCCTGCCCATCTGCAATACTTCGTAAAAAGTTCCCGGTTGGATATGAGAACAACATTCAGCAGCTGTTTTCATGGCATTCGTGATTTAAACTGTACGTGAATTGGCTCTTGAGGTGTTTATCTGATTTTTGCATGCAAATATGATACTAATATGCAGTACTTTCCAGATGTTGCGTTCTTGGCAATATGTAAGTGCTTACTAGGTGGCAATACTGTAAGCTTAAAATGTTAATTCTACAAAAGAAAAAAAATTATCATCAGTACTTGAGCTTTCAATAAGCTTTATGTTAGCAATATTTTCTAATATAGTATTTATTAAAATTGAGTTAACTTTTATCTTTTATTTTCTTTTTAAAGTTTTTGTAAATTTACGCTTTATATAAAAATTATATAATGTTATACTTTTTTATTTATTTTTATTAGCTTTTTATTTTTATTTATGTTTAGCTTTATTTTTACTTCAGCTTTAGTTTTAGAAATGTTAATACTTCAACTTCTATTTCAGTTATTTGTCAAAGAAAGTATTTCTGCTAATATTTATATTTTGTTTTACTTCAAGTTTATAACAACACTGCTTTTAAACTTTAAAAAGTCCCCAAAAAACACCACAAAATAATCATAAAAATGGTCCATACGACTCCTGCTCTATATTTCAAGATAGCTTTGTGTGAAGAACAGACCAAAATTTGTTTTTGCTAACAAACCCTTCAGACTTTGGAGAAAGAAAAAAAAAGTTCACCCAGAAATTAAAATTTATTCGTCCTCAGGCCGTCCAAGATGTAGATGAGTTTGTTTCTTCATCAGAACAGATTTAGATAAATGTAGCATTACATCACTTGCTCACCAATGGATCCTCTGCAGTGAATGGGTGCCGACAGAATGAGAGTCTAAACAATTGAAAAAAATATCACAGTAATCCACAAGTAACAAGTCCATCAATTAACATCTTTTGAAGCAAAAATCTGCATGTTTGTAACAAGCAAAAACAGTCTAAAACAGCTCTAAACAAATATGTGGGTGGATCTGATGTGAGAGAACAACAGGGGAAGGATGTTTTCACTGGAGGAAGCGTTATTATAGATTATGAACTCCATATTTTGGCCAGAAATTATGGTATTAAAGTTAAAACCCCTTAATGATGAATTTGTTTCTTACAAACCGGCAGGTTTTCACTTTACAGGATGTTAATTGATGGAGTGGTGTGGATTACTTGTGGATTATTGTGATGTTTTTATCAGCTGTTTGGACTCTCATTCTGACGGCACCCATTCACTGCAGAAGATCCTTTGCATGATGAGCAAGTGATCTAATGCTAAATTTCTCCAATTCTGTTCTGATGAAGAAACGCACTCATCTACATCTTGGCTGTCCTGAGCGTGAGTACATTTTCATCACAGAGTGAACTATTCACTTACTAATTGATCATCGCTATTGCTTGTGAGCAAATTTGACCATCTGATGAACTATTTATCACTATTATTACTTTTTTCCATGAGTCTGCTTGCTTCATGACCCAACAAAGCTTAATAAATCTCTGTTTTCTTAGCTGCTAATTTTGGAACAGAATCGAACCTCTCGTGCCATCAAAGTAGAGCAGTAATCATGAAGTTTTGCACCGTTCTATGTCCGCCGTCCACCATGTTTAATCGGGAGGTTTTCTCATTAGAAGATCGTGAGGTGAGCCACCGTTTAAAAGAGCACCAATTCTTCAGGTCTCAGAGAGGACATGTACATCAGTTCAGCTGAACAGGCCCTTAAAGTCAAAGGCAAAAAAATGATTGAGGACAAGAAATCGAAGCACCCTGTCCACTCCAAAAGCCACAGCTTTTCCACAGGAGAAGATAATGAGCCTCTGAAGCTCTCAAAGTGAGAGTCTGATTACACTCTAACCACACACACTTACACAGACCTGATTAAATACCAAACCGCATACGTTCTCCTCGCTTCTGGAAAGACTCTGACGAGTTACTATCGATCCTGGGGCCTCATTTATAAAATGTTGCGTATAAACCGTCCTAAATTTGTTCTAAGATCATTTCTCAAAAGTGCGTAAGTGCGATTCAGAGAAAACGAACGTGTGCACAAAAACACATGCGTACGCCTCTCTTCCAGATGTGACATTTACAGTATAAATCGCAGATGATCTTGAAATTGTGCGCAGCTGACTGGCGTCAGATCTCCGCCTTGTAAACGCCCCCTAATTAATATCATTACCATATAAAAGAGCACACGCCAATATCCG